AGGAGGAGGAGGAAGGGTGGGGGCTCTCTTGTGTCGTTCTCTCTTGGTCTCTTTCTCTGTCCTCTGTGTGTGCGTGCGAGTGACTCACTGTGGGAAAGTGCTGTGTGCATTGTGCGAAGGTACCTACGTGCATCGCAAGCATCTGCAGCCGTACAGTTTTCCTTTTAAGTCGGAGACGGAAATAAAATTATAGGATTTATTACACAAACACTCCTGAAATGTTTGAAGGCACTGACGACTGCCATAAAGCTTTTAAAGATGGCACTAACCTTGAAATTAGAACATCAAGAGCATTCATTTTGACTTCCTTGAAATAGCATATTCATTTCTATCATCCAGTATTCCAATCAGGGCTGCCCTTTCTTAGCACTTCCTCACCTCAGGAAGGTCTTTGGAAGTTTTTCTTCCTGGTGGCAAGATGTAAGTATGCCAGTAGTGCAGCGCAGGAGCATTTTCAGTCAAAATCCCTGAAGGAATTATCACAGACACTCTGCATTTCTGTGGAGGATACAGAGAGGGTAAGCACATCTGATTGGCCCACTAACCCCCGGTACCCAGTGGCAAGACTGGCATCAGAGGGGCCCGCATACACGTCAGTATTTATTTAGATGGCAGGTGATTTACAGTCACCCTCTTCACTCATAGCATTCCGGGTACAGTTCAGCAACCATGCAGCCCTTGTGAGAATATCCTACATCTTCATCCCTTCATCACTCCAGTCCCGTAAAACGTTTATGTTGATGCTGTAATGACATCCACACTTAATTAATATTTAGTTGTCTAAACATTCATGCCGTCCAGTTTATCAAATGACTTCAGTTCCACATATTCTGCAGCGTTTGCCTTGGATAATGTTTTGCAATTGGCTTTTTAATTCATGCTTTGAAAAAATAAATACGAAGAAGTAAAATGCACATTGTTGCAGGCCAGCCTTCCCACTGTTATCAGCATTAGGAAACAAAAATTAAGCAATCAGGTGAAATTGAGAAGTCTATGATATCATTTTCAACACAAATAAAAGCTGATTTCAATGATTCTTCCCAACAATGATGAAAGACACACTATTAAAGGAAGTCACATTTAAAATCATCTTCAATGACCCAGATGTCTTTGACAGGAGTTGGTGGACATAAAAGCGTAGTTAATCTGCGTCTGAAGAACAGACAACAAAATATTATAGACTGATGGCTGATGTTTCATTTAGTTTGCCTACTATGGGTTTTAAATCAAACCTCAGTGTTTAACTTAAAAAAAAAAGTTAGAGCGGAAAGGCTGATTGGGCACGTGCAGAGGAGGGACACTAGATATACTGAACAACAGGATGTCGAGGATGGAGCTGCCAGGCAGGGGAAAAAGAGGAAGACCTCAGAGAAGATTTGTGGATGTAGTGAAGAAGGACATGCAGAGGGTTGGTGTGACAGAGGAGGATTCAAGGGATAGGATGAGATGGAGACGAATGATTACTGCGGCGGCCCCTAAAGGGAGCAGCTGAAAGCAGAAGAAAGAAGCATCCTGCATGTACGCACAGCATGTTTTGCCAGATGTCGCTGCATACATAGAAAGCGAGAGAACAGTTTAACACTATCCCTGCCAATGACGAAATATTCCAGCAATCGCCTTTCTCACATCATGCAATAGCATTAAAAATGTAAAACTCTAAAAATTATCCTGGAGGTCTTGAGTGATTAATGATTCATGAGTCACCGGGAAGTTCAGAACAATACTCTGGCGGGGAAAGTGTTAAGAAACAAGAAAGTCTGCATTAGAAGGTTGGGGAGGTGGTGGTGAAGTCAGAAGTTTGTCTGGCAGGAGACAAACTTCTGACTTTTGTCCCATTTGGAAGTTTTTAGGAAGTTTTTTTGCTTCTTTTTTGTGTTTTGTTTTTTTGCTTGCACTGCTTAGGTAGTTTTAGACACTAATGCATTAGGTTAGGTTTAGTTGTCATTTTGGAAATTATATATTGGATTTATAAGGCACTTTTCCTAACAAGGTTACAAAGTGTTTCACAGAAGGGAATTTATGGAATATTGAAAAATCTAAGAAAAATAAGGCTACTAAATACTGAAAGTAAACTTTTAAAGCTTTACTAGCTTGTATTTCCAGCTTTTGAAAAATGGTTTCATGAAATAGCTGCTGCTTTAACAAGGTAAGAACACAACAGGTACCTGGAAATTACAGGTTGCTACTTACCTGGAAAGGTTTAATGCTTCTTGGTCAAGCAGAGGCTGTGCAGCATCTGGAGGATTGCACATAAGCAGTAAGCAGTGGCCTCGCTTGCAACATGCATGCATCCTGTGCATGAAGGCAAGTTGAAAAAGAGACCGCTGTTGCATGTAAGACCCCTTTTTTTGTTCCTTGCATCACCCGCTTCACATGTGTAACTCAGCCGGTATTCCTTCTAGACCTTGTGTGCATGTTCACATGCTCACATTGACTCCGGTGGTCAGAAACAATTAAACAGACCTTAGTTTTAAATTCACACAAGTGCAGATCTTGTACATTGTGTACTGCTAATAGATACAAACGCCAAAGCTTAAACTTTGATGGCCAAGTTGAAATAAATCAGAACCAAAGCTTTAAGGGACCGTCAATTAATGTAAACCAGACGTTTATTGTCTTCTTCTTACGGAAATGATCTTACACTTTTCACGGTGCTAAATCGTGTTAAGTCTGACTATGCAAAACTGGAAACTTGTATACCGTGAAATGCTTTTCAAGAGCGTGAACTTCTAGTTTTCTTTTAAGAAGAAATTGCATCTTCTGCTGTTTCAGATTGCGCTGCAAGGTCCAAGCACTGCCTAACTGGTCGTCTCCTGTAAAATATTAAACTTTACACTGTAAAAAGAAAATTCTATAAAAAATGGAAAATGGTAATTTATTAATCCTTTGTTCCCTCCATTTCAATGCATGTTTGAATAAATAGTAAATGGGTGGTTTTGGATGGTTAAGAAAATAAGGAAATTCATTTTAAAACATTCATCGTGCTGTATTGTTTTTACAGATTTTTATCGTTCTTTTTTTCTTTTTTACAGTATATCTTGATGCACAATATTAACTGAAAGTGTTATTTAAAGAGGATCTGGTTAACTGTTGTATTAATAATTCTCCAACAATGTGGATGCAAAACACACAGAAAAAGAAGAATGTGATGTTTCACAATGAATGATTTCATTGTTCCTGTATTAACAGGATGACAACCTTCACATCTGTCCATTAAAATAGTCACGTGGGAGCTATTTAGCTTGCACAGCTTTTAAATGCTCACTAACACACTTTACATGTAGTTTATCTTTTGTAAACAATGGATCCCAGTTCGGGGATGTGAGTGCTGTGCCTCTTATTGTGACTGTTTTAAAACAGATTGAATATAGCTGACATGAAACAACTTGCTCGTTAGCTACAGACATCTGATTAAGCTGTTGCTTGCTATACATGATCGAACTTTCTTTTCAGTTTAAAAGTGTTGTCAACCAGAACAGATGAGGAAGAAGTCCCCTCCGTGAGACGTCAGGCGTGTACTTCACTTCAGTCGGCTGACTTTCCATGGTTTACGGCTGTTAGTTTCTTCCAGTCTTAACACTCCTTAAGAATGTGGTGCTACACTGGGGACCGAAGGCTAATGTGCTATAAAAATGCTATCATGTTTTAATAAGCTGCTGGCATCACAGGCAAGGTTTGATAGAGACACTAATGGCCCTGTTTTTTGGAGAAATAAAATCTGAAGGAGTGGTGGATGCTTGATGTCAGAAGTTTCTCAGTCCTATTTGCACGTTTTGGGGTTTTGTATGTTTTCACTCACTGATTTTTTAAAGATGATTTTACTTTTGCATTTTGATGCATTTGGTGACAGTGAGAGTGGCAGCACAGCTACTTGTTATGGTTTAAGTTGGCTTGTGTTACATTGAGTACCTTTAACATGTTGAAAAATGACATTTGAGGCTATCCACTGTGTTTAAATGTGACACCAAAGAGTTTTTGTCTGGAGTCTATATATGACCTGTTAAGACTCAGCCCAGTCTCATCACTGCCATGAGACAGAGCACTGACACCCAAGGACACCTTCTGTCTCTTGGACGTCGGCGGCTCAGACAAAACGGCCCATGACTGAGAATAGGATAGCTTGTCACATATCGCCACCACCCTGCTATCTTGCTAACATCCTCCTGCTACCTTCTCAGTCTCAGTCTCTGTCTCTGCCTCTCCCTGCCAAAGCAGAAAGCTGAACATTAGCACTTGGGCCTGAAGACTTTAAATCCTAGTTCCCGAGCAGAGTAGGAGGTGGAGGGAAAGAAGGATTAGAGAGAAGTGTCTCTGATGTTATTTAATCTCACCGTCCAGGGAGTGAGCGAGCCGGCGCACTCCCAGTGCACATTATCAACCTCTGATGACCAGTGAGGGCGGGTGAGGGGGAGAACGGGCGCCTTAGATGCCACATTGCCACCAACACTGCTGCTGCAGAGCACTTCAAGCCATCTTCCAGGCCGTCCCTAAACAGTCAGCAGCTCAATTTGGGTGATGGCAAGTGTGCTCAGTCAGGGGAGAAGTCAGTCCCGGATGATTTCCTCCTTTTTCTGCTCGTTCTCCTCTGCACTGACACCCCTCTTCCCCCATCTCAGCTATCGTCCAAATGCGCCTATGTCCTCCCTTTGCCTCCCGCTGCCTGCCCCCCACCCACCTCCGCAGCATTCCTATTCCCGCGCCCTACCTACCCCAGAAACCAAAAGACCCGGCAATCATTCAGTCGCTCAAGTTATCTCAGGAGCCTGTCTCGCTTCGCCTCCCCCCCTCCAACCTCCCCATCCTCCCTTCTTCTACTTCCCTGCATCCCTCCACCCCTGTGCCCCCCCAGTGCATTCCAGCATGACAAACCACATGGGATTTCACTAGTCCTTTAAAGTCTGCTGCCTCTGGGAACCACTCTTCTTCATGCAACATTTTAGTATTCTAGGGAATACGTGACCGGGGAGGCAACCAATGCAGTTATATGTCTCCCATCTCCTCCAGGTTGTTATTTCTGTTGAGGCTTTAAAAACAGGCAAGAAAGGTAATACTTATCAGGTGATCAAAAGTGATTACTGATTTTTCCCTTTTTTATATATGTTTGTATATCGGGGCATTTATTTTTCTCTCTGTCCATGGTTTCTGCACAAAAACGGTTCTACCAGCATTTCTTTTACTGAAGTCTTTTTTTTTTATTTTAACACATAAAAGCATCACAACAACAATATACAAATTCTTAGTAATCTTTAAAACCAAAACACATTTACACATGCAACAATAGGGTTTAAGACAATGAGTAACTTATTGAATAATCGTGTTTTTGGAATGTCTCAACGTTATTTTGCTGGAGGGACTGCTGTTTACGCTGAAGGAGGAGTTTCATCGATCTCTTCTCTCCAGAACAACATCTGGCATGTCAAATATGTGTAGTGGTCTGTAATTAATTCAAAATTTGAATGTTTTCAACATGACCTACAACTCTTTACTGGCATTACTTTCTACCTTTTTGACAGTTACAACCTTTAGTGATCCAAACTGAAAGGAGAAAAAGAAAAAGACACAATGACCTATGTAGTTCTGTAAGGGAAAAAAAAGGATTTTCTTTGAGAATATGACCCCTCAGACAGCAGTCTGACTCAAACATCTGGCGCTGCCACAATCAAATGACGCCCAATTAGAGCTTAAAGAAGTGTAGCTCACCACACAGGACAATGTGGGCCGTTCTGCTCTATGTCCACTCAAACCAGGAAGCACATCAACAAACCCATCACGGGAGCGCTGCTGCTATCGTTCGTAAACATATCACACTGCCAGCAATGGTCTAAACATGAGCATGTGGATTGCGGATTACATTAAAAAAGAACAAAAAACTGAATAGGACTCAGTTTGATATAATAATTGAAGTAAAAAAAATATATAAAAGGTTGAAGAATAATCACAAGAATAGATTATTGCTCCGTGGTGAAGTGTGTTGGGTTTGTATATCCTCGATCCTTGTGGCCTCTTCCTGTTTGATGGATTCAGGGTGACTGTATGATTGTCTGTTTGAGTCCTTTACACAGGATTGGCTGTGAACCTACAGCCACGACACTGAAAACACATTCATAGACACCAAAAATATACATTATGATACTGTCAAAAGGTACAATAATTACACAGAAAAGGAAATTACAGAGTTAAAACAACACCATTATGTTATCTTTTATCTTTTTGTCTGTCCACGTTTTCTTCTTTCATCCTCTCCAAATGTTTCGGGCGTGATGGGTTCTGTGAACCCATGAAGTGCTCCTGGCAGAGAGTCAAGAGTCCCACCTGCCCTCCTAACTGGTGGATGGGGTGGCCACGGCTTTCTTTCTAAAAGAACCACCGAAAAGCTTCGCCGTTGTTGACCGGCGTCCTCTGTGGGAGACAAAATGTGAAGGACACATTTTATTTCACAGGTTTCATGGTGATGTCACTGGCAACCTCTTGAAAATAAAACAAAACAAAATTCACGTTCAAAAATCACAGATGGCAATAACCCGCAATGTAAGGAGCAGTTGGGTAGAATTGGCTAGAAACAGCATGGACATTAAGTAAAGTAAAAATCCCAGAAGGGCACTTAAAATGGCCAGAAAGCACAACCACCAAATCAAGTATTTCATCAAAGAGCCAGCCAAGGTGATTACATCCACGTCCCACCCACACCCAAATAATCATTACGCTGTATGAAATATTCAATACAAATTCCCAAGAAGCAACAATGAGGCATTTAATTACTGTGAGCTCTAGCCGCAGTGAGGGGGAACAGTGCATCATTTCAATTTGAGCCCGCGCCAGCAGCCGCCCCTCCTTCTTCTCCCCGAAACCTCTACGCCAGAGTGACAGCCTCTTCTTTCCGAAACTCATTTGGAAGTCAGAGACATAAAATACTGGAGTCTCCAACCAATCCCCATGACCAATTAGCACATTTTTTTTGATTTTTTTTCCCCCTGTTGACGGGGGAAATGGTGCATAATCACAACTAAAATCACTTTAGTCTGAGTGGAGAGCAATTTGACATTTTAATACCAAGTGTCATTGGCAGCTTCTTAAAGGCATGCTGATGAGTATGTTAGCACCAGACAGGCGCATGCTCTCAAGCTTATACCGGTTATTGACCACATGTAAAACCTACAGTGTACAACGGGCGCTGATAATAGTTTATATTTAAATTGTATTACCCAAAAGGATTCCAACCATTTGTAATTATTAATTGTCTGGCATCATGACACAAAACACTGTTTTTTTCCCTTTTTTCGATAAACAATGAATTTGCCTGATAATTGCTGCAGGAGGAGTAACATTTATGCAGTCAATGCAGTAGGCGGGATTAATGCTGTTGTTATTTGTCATGCAGTGCATTGCAAAATGGATATTTAAGCAGCCTAAATTAGCTTGTTTTCTCCACCAAAGAGGCTGCTCAGTGACAAGTGGAGTAACAAGCTGAAAAGCTTTTACTTCACTTAACTTATTAAACTAAAACCAAAGCCAGTGTGTTTACATTGACTTTTAATGTCATTAGACACTGCATGCATATGCTGGTCTGTAGTGATTTTTCATTCAAGAAAACTCCAGTTGCACTAGTATCAGACTGAAGAACAAGTGCAATACATTGGCAATTTGTTTCATATCAGAATAAACAAGAAATTACATCATTTAAATGTGTGTAGAGTGCACTGTGCAACATTATGTGTAACAATAGATTTCTTAATTATCAGATATTAGTCCCCATATATGCAGGGAGGTCACCTGAGCCCACACTTGTGGTTTCTTTTCATACCTAAATTCTGAAAATGTGATAGTACTTGCACCAGTTCTTCCAGAACTGAAGGGGCCTGCATAACGCACAAGAAAAACTACACCTGGAACAAAGAGTTAATCGCTCATTGGTGAAAATGGCAGAGTCAAGCATGAAAGTACTGTTTGAAGGGGAGTCTCCAAATTGCGGTAACGAATTCACAAAAAGCAACATGCAAATGATGCTATCGTGCTTTTCCAACCAAGCAAGAAAATACTTCCAGTTTAGCGAAGCATCTTAAAGACTGGCATCCAAATCTGTTCAAAGAATTCAAGTTGGTTTGGTTTGGTTTTGGTTCAAACTGATAATATCTGAAGTGTTATAGTTCCTATATTATCCTGAAATAAACATTTCCATATTGTTTGAGACCACTGTTGTGAAATCAGCGATACATTGTAGGCTAAAATGTTAGCAATAGCTAAAGTGATTTACATGCATAAGCTAACGTACAGAATCGATACCTTGTAGTAAAAGTAGCATGCTACTTGACAACCACCCTCATTTTTCCAGTGTTCTGTCAATAAAATGTAATCATAACATTTTAAAAATAAACTGTCTCCCACCACAATGTCAGTGATTTAAAACAACTTTATAATAAAGGATTTTATGTTTAAGTACAGGAGATAATCATTTTGTTTTGGTATGAATTTGGTATTGTGAATCATGTACTTCCATTGGTACTCACTGCTAATTTACTGTACTGTATTGTGACATCCTTTTTATATGTATGTGTACAATGTGTGTCCAGCACGAATTATAGCCTTTTCACTTTCAAGTAACCAAAACTATTACTTGACTGACATCAATGAGAAGGTCATAAGCCCAACTTTTTAACTAGTGCTTACGATGGCTACACTGACACTGCGATAAGGACTTTAATGTCTTCTGCTATGACAAGTTTAGAATTAAAAGACAAACTTTATTTAGAAACCCACATAAATAATCTTTATAATGAAAAAAGAATAAACATGCCATAAACAAATGAGTCTGCAAACCCATCATCTGATGAGGCTTTTCAGAGCCACCTATGTTATTAAATTAACGTTTATTTATATAGCGACAAATAACTCAAGGTGATTGCAAATGGCTCTGGTTTTTCTTGAGACATGTCTGGCACAAGGCATTTTAAACAATTTACAGAGTAAGGTACAGATATATTTCCTTTGGGCAAACACATTGCAGTATTGGTACCAAACTTAATAGTAAGAAACCTCTGACCGGCAAATAGAGAATAGCCATCTGCCCTGACTGGCTGGGGTGAGAACTAATGGATTAACACCAGTGCAACACATCTCTGGGCTCTCATTCACACTAGCTGTGGATCACAAATATTCACTCATCAGGTGTAATGCAGTAGATGTGGCTTTCCCTACATTTTAGGATATTCTTCCTGTGATCTCCTAAACAGAGTCAGCCGTACAGGTACTGGCTCATCACCCCACCTGATTTAGATGCATGCATTCCTCGTCTGTAGCAACCATTTACCATTTTTTCACACCACATTAAGCAATTACTATTATCCTTCTGAGTGAGTAATGGTGGAACCCAGAGCAGCAGGATACCATCATCACCAATTTAAACGTGGAGGAAATGAAATGCGATCATGTTTTTAAGGGTCAAGATGTGTTCACACATCTAGTTTTTTTTACCTAATTGCCACGAGCTGATTGTTGTATCGCTGCAGTCCATTAATTGCACTTTTTCATTTTTTGAAAGCAGTTTTGCTGTTTCTAAAAATGCATGTTTTTTATGTGATTTTTGTTTCAAAATGTATTTTTAGAGAACAATGAAAGGCTTAATCAAAGTTATGCTGAGCATAAAAGTCCCCTGGAAAATATAGTAGAAAATCAATTTAGTGTTTATTTACTTCATATTGGGATTCTGCGCAATGTGAACATAGGTTCAACATTTGAGAGTATAAATGATTGCTTTTCTAAACCATTCCCTTGAAAAAAAATCCAAAAAGACAAGACATAAACACTTCTCAGTTATTAGTACTTTTCCTAGTTTTCTTGATATGAACATTCATCACTTACAGCCAATGTTTTGCTTTAAATTTCCATTTGAGACAAAAGGATGGAAGCAAAGAACTTAATTTTTGTGGCTTGCAGTATAACATCTGAGTGGACAAAAAGAATATCACACTGCTATATGAATGCCAAATCACTTACCAAAACTTACACGAGTATTAACCCTCGCTTAATACTCAACACTTAGTACCATTTTTATATAAAAAAGATAAAAATGTAAAAAAAAAAAAAAAAAAAGTATATATTTTAAGATTCTCTTCGGTAATGCAAACATACATAAAAACAAAAGCGCCGTAGTGCCGTGCTTTAGTCCTTATGTTTCCATTGATAATCAGAGTTGGTAAAGTTCGTTGCTAGTGTTTCTGTCTAGTAGTTCGTAGACTTTTCTCAGCTTCAATCTGGACTTTAAGAAAAACAACACCTTTTAGACACAAATAATTGTTATGGCTTCATTAGCTTAATGACAACTTAGCAGACCGCTTATGTGGCTGTCGGCTAATTGCTAACAGCTGTCGTATCACCAGACTTTAACAACAAACGCAGATCTCTGTGACTCGACTGGACAATATCAACATTTCTTTCAGAGGACTGAACAAACTTTACAATGCTGTGGATGTTGTGAACACATCTGCGCATCCACAGGAGGACATTCATGTCCCGTTCTTTCTCTCTGCCTATACTGTGATGCTCTTGGAGCTGAAGAAAAGACGGGAGGTGAGAATGTTTATCTTGATCCATATTCTCACATTGATTAATCCCTGGTGGAAGTGCGGCTCACCAGAGACAATAATGACCCTAATCTGGGCACTCGGCATGTCTCTGTTTTGTTAAGTTCCCACGTTATCGATCCAGTTGGGCTCTCGAGTGCTGCTTGGATTCCCTCCCAGGCCTCCGTGCCTCGGCACACTGCTGTGACCAGGCACAAAGAAGGCTCAATTAGTACAGCTCTGTGTCGTCTGGTCCCCCACCTGCATGTGCCTTCAAAGTCGACTGGCAGGAAGAGCTGGGGGGGGGACGACGACGACACAAGAATACGGAGACAAGAGAAAGAGAGGGCGATAAAGACAGGGTGAGGAGAAGGTACGAGCTGATAGTGCTACACCAGGGACAAGGGAGCAACGCCAAGGTTTCACCTCAAATCAAGACGCTGTGGCAGCAGCTCAGCTCGCATCAACGCTGCTGCCTCTGCAGCAGAGCATACATAACAACCTGGCTGCAACGACAGACTGAAGGGAAAGACAATTTCCCGCTCCGGCAATGAATGCACACAACAGAGTATTGAACTGGCTGAAGGAGGAGGAAGACATTTCTCCAGACCTCAAATTAACCCCACCACACCAGCACAGTAGGCAGGGTATTCTGACTGTCTGCTGGTGGCTTTGGGTGATAACAACACAGTAAAACTGACATGTAGTGGAATAATTCTCTGCTGATTCTGGTGAGGCAGTGTAAGGTCTCAGGGCAGCATGTGATCTTAACTGGACCTGGCAGGCGCAGTAAACGCTGAAGCCACATCGTCAGCTGATTAAAACAAGGTGGTGGAAATCAAA